GATCTACTAAAGGAAGTCGGGTTGGATCGCAAGTACATAAATATAACGTAATTTCAAATCAGGCATTTTTAAAGTCATTTCTGTGTTTTGCAGGTCATCCATGTTATTAGTCTCTAAATAAAAAATAATGTTAACTTATACAAACAAATTATATTTACTGCGTGGATACCTCTAGGCCACGATTAAGATACAGTGAACAATACTCAATGATAGCCATTTCCTAATATCAAATTTCAACGTCGCATCGTATCAGTGTGAGATTAGTTACCGGGTATTGATAATGTACACTCGTATAGATAGCGTTTGGTATCACGAACTTTCAAACAGTTGGACTAAATTATTAACGCTCAGACAAGCTAGCGAACTATTAACACATATAGAATTAGCTTCATTTCTAAGCAAGCAAAGCCAGGAAGAAAGATAGTGAAAAATATATCATATATGATAGAATAGAAAACCCGGCTTTATGGCTGATTCTGTAATATTCCACTAAAATTGTACAAACCATGGCTCGCGAACCACATGCGGGCCGCAGCATGAATTGATGCGGCCCGCCAAATCTTTTCTAGTTACTACCAATATTGATGTTGATGTTGACAGAATTGTAAAAGATTAATTAATAAAAAATTAATACAATAACAAAATAATGATATTATAGCTGCATTTTGTTTTTACAAATATTTTGCGGCCCCTAAATAAATTTAATTATTTTTATTGGCCCTAGATTCTATTTAGTTTGGACAGCCCTAGTCTAGATAGTAAGGTATACAGATACATACGCCACGGTCACAGGAACTGTCCATCTGCGTGCCTATTACCTCTTTATAGCTAACAGTTTAGTCAATAAACCTAATCATAAACGTAGCGGTCCAAAATAATAGGGTTTATCTTTATTGTCTAATAGATAGGACATGTATACGAGTATAATATAATGTACCAATTTAGTTCTCTAACGCTTCCCAAAGCGTGACTAGATGGGTATTATTACTAGTGCCACATTCAGCGTATCCTCGATTGCTTTTAGCATTTTATTACTAGATGCCGTTAAGTCTTTATCATTTTTGCCGATTTCAAAAAACAAGGACGTCCTTAATTCAGTTGTATTTTTTTTAGGTTTGTTACCTCATAACTCCATCAGTTGTAAACCGATTTGGGAAAATATTTTTTTTTTATCTGAAAGGACATAGTTACAGATTGGTCCCATAGAAATTTTATCCAAATCGGCTCAGTAGTTTAGTTTTTAGATTAAAATAAGAGGACATAATGATCCTAACTCAGGATGTGAACAGAGTAAAAGTACATAATGTGCTTTTTAAGGGGTCACTTCTATTGTGTACTAAAATTAACACAAACAAAATAATAATAAAGTTAAATTGCTTACTATAGTATCTGTAGTAAAAGATTCATAATGGTAGGTGCTTGTAAAAGGAACATGTCGCCTAAAGAAATAAAACACACACTAAATTACACTCCAGTGTGTGACTATTAATTTCGAGACCTTTACTGCTTTTATATCAACATAGTTTAATCAAATATAGTGCAGTGTTCTTTCGTTTATTACAATAAAAAAGCATAACATAAAAATATGATAGTACAACAAAACAAATAAATTAACAAAAAATGTGTAAAAACGAAATAAAAATAAATTATCTAACAATAAGAACATCTAACAATAACAATTAAAGTGGATTTAGTATGTTTAAGATTTAACAAGTAGCCTCATACATACATATTCATCACGCCTGTCTTCCATTGGGGTAAGCAGAAACAATGGAATGTACATCGACCAGTCTATTGATCTTATGTTAAGAAAACTGCTGTCAAATCCATTTTCCTGGATTCCGCGCACATCTGTCACTCATCAAAGGTCAGGTAGCGTTGTTTAATAATAACAGCACCTTTGGGAACCGGAGCATGGGAAGGTAGCGGTAAACATCATGTATGAATGTGCTGCACTGCGCCCGCGCAAGAAAGTTCGCACGGGGCTGTTAGACCAGCTGTTAATGGTGAAATGGGATTTTGTCTTTATGGGAACTGATGATTCGTCCGCATTTGCTGTAATAAAATTCACTTGAGACGAATACTAAATGAATTTCTATTTTTTTAATAGGCTGAAACTGGTATAGCAACCCCGCTTGTTCTATTGGTATAAGCTAGAGGCGTACCAGAGAATGACTTATACATAGATGTGAACGAAGTCAGATTAGATGGTCCATAGGGACAAATTCGGCAGGAATTCACGGCGATAGTTTCCTAGCAATGGGGCTGCTAGACCCCACTGCTTACAATTTCCTTTCCCCCTTATGAATTCTGTTGGGCGTAGCAAATAAAAATTGAAGAAAGTTTAATACATTTTTAGATAGATAGATACTCTTTATTGCTACCTCCAAAAGATTACAGTAGTAAGCTTATTATAAATATAAACAATTACAAAAAATAATTACAATGAGAAAACAATGGGAAACCTTATCGCTAAAAGCGATTTCTTCCAGGCAATATTTACATTACAGGCAATAGATTTTTTTGTTACCAAATAAATATTCACCGTCTACACAGGCCTTTAGATATGTAAGGAAATCTAAAAGTCAAGGTGCGAGCAAGACAATAGGGGCACCACCGGTTCTACACATTGCAAAACAGGCGACCGGCTAAGATCTAGATTAAAATGCAATTACAATTGCACAACAATTGCCTTTCCCTCTTTGTAAATTCCAACAACAACTCGAATTCGCAATATTGTTGTGTGCACAAATTTACATCGATTCGATATCGAGTCCAGTTGATCGATTGTTCAAGTTTCGATTTACGTAATGCTTGTGGGACAGAATTAATTTTCCATAGATCAATAAGACTTAGACAGAATATCTCCCAAGAAATGTTTCGACAATAACGGCCTCATATTTTAAACAATAGCGCTTTTTTGAAGGTGTACAATTGTATTGATCTTGTAATTGGTGACTTTTATAACACAAACCGTTTTTTTTTGTTCTCGTTATCATATTATATTACTAATACTACATATTAAAGTATATGGTTTCAAGCTTTCGTACAGTATGGAAAAACAACGTGTCATTCTACAGTTGGTCGATTGTTTTTTATACACATTTTTGCTAATCTATGCTCCATCAAGATATGTAATAGCGACTGTGATCCCTGTGGGGTAGCCAGAAGCATTGGTCGACTACCGTTAGTAGATTATATTGATACATTGTTGTTAGCTATCCACAATCTAAGATTTTCCATCAGTTTGTAATTACATTAAGACACGCTACAAATTTGTACGGCAAATTTATTATTCACTCGATCATATCATAACGGCTGTTTGTATACCAATATTTACTTAAATTCATCATTAATTTGCCTTAATAAACAATTTAGCAATGTATTCTGTAGAAACAAATAAATTGTTATTATATTAGTAACACCTTTAATCTAGTATTATCAAATATTCATTAACTAAAACTATATTTGCAACAGTTCCTTCTTAAATGCTAGAAAGATTCTCAAGAGCTTCATAAAGGATCAAAAACTGCAAATTTTAGTTGTTTCTGCACCATTACATACTAATAAAAATTATGCTGAGTTGTATGTATGTAAAAGTGCTTCTCATTTCTTTTCATTATAAAGAGAGAGACGAATACTAGAAGTAAAATCGTTTAAAAAATTATTACTTCAGAGGCCGAATACTGAATTATAATAGGTTGAGTGCTTACGGTAGTAGATATATATCTACTTTTGCTCCTTTACTTTCCTTTTAATATTTTTTATTATTAAATTCATTAATCACATTTTAATTCTAATACGAATATTCAAATTAAATAACTTACATTTAACGTCCATATCCCTTATTTAAGTTCAGTTTAGTTTTCTTCGAAGTACTTACACTACCTGACCCTATTTACCAGCACAGAATCGAAACAAGGCAAAAAATCTATTGGCTTCGCTATAGGTATCTACATTTAGACGAGTAAATTTTTATAGTAAAATGCGTAACATTTTGTTTGTTGGTATTTTTACGCGCCAATGAACACGGCCACTATTCCATTGTGCATTATGTCTAAGCGTCCATAAAAACTGGTTAAAAAAACTAGCTAATAGAAACATGACAGGCCCAATTTCTTAAATGGTAACCGCGCTATTTGGTAATTAATGATTAATACAGTATGTACATAATTTTATAACGTGTTTATTATATAATTGCATGTAGGAAACAGCAACAATAAAAATTAATACTGTAATAGAGTGTATAATAAATTTATATACCGTATTAAAACTACTAGGCTTATTGCGAATGGAAAAATGGATGTAGAATCATAGATAAATATAACAATTTCTGTCCAAGAAAGAGCAGTAGATATGTTCTATTCCGATCGTGAATATCCGAAGCTAAGGAATATTTGTGGAAGCGTATCTAGTACAGTATAGTAGGTTAGACATAGCTTTATAACAAATGTCTTCATATTTTAAAGCAAAAAAAAAAAAATTTACTCAAGATTGTATCTGTGATCAGAGAAAGGCATGCAAAATTTAATATAATACCATGTTTTAAATAATTACATGTATTATTTAAAACATGGTATTAATCACATAATGTACATTATAAACTATTAAAATATGCATGACTAAGCGATAAATTAATTATTAGTCCATTGCGAGCATGAGTGCCAGTCAGTAATTGGGGTTTTTACATCAACATTTAATATTTATGACCTTTTATATAGTAAAAGGTAAATTTTTGTTACTGAATAATTTTATTCTACAGATATATAGCAAAATAGGTTGGTACTTGCTCTGCACTTCGGGGAGCATGCAAAAGCCCCCGTCTGGCAATATTAAAACCAAAACCAGACAGGACTACTTTTACACGAGTAGCGTTAGTAATTAATAATAATAATGACTTTCAACCTCTTTATAACAATTGCTTGTAATCACTAGTATCTGGGTCGTATAATACAGAATGACAGATAAGTACCTATAGCTTATTACAATTTATCTCCCAGGGCACGATAAAGGATCGCAAAACAAGTGTTTTGCGTCCAAGTGGACGAAAACGCACTTCCTGACTAAAAAATCTTAGATACTGGCAAGGGATGAACACAAGATCACTTCTCCGGCGGCAGTCTATAAAGTTATGATAGCTTTGTTGATAATCGGCAACTGATAGAAGATGGTACAGTAAGTGTCAAAACAATAGACCATGTTAATCGCTGATAAATGATATTCCTATAGGTGAAAAAGTTTTTAGAATCGGTCGAGTCCTTTTAGAATTTATATATTAAAAAAAAAAAAACAATCAAATCTGTCCTCTTTATAATATTAACTGTATTTTTAGCTTTAACGTTCTATAGAACGTTAAAACAAAAAATAATATAATCATCAGAAATAAAATTGTTAGTTAAAATCTTTTTAAAACCGTAACAAAGATCAACACTGCGTACTAATTAAATTTATTGAATCAATTAAAGGCAATCAAGAGAAAAAAGTTCAAGATTTCTTCAGCATTTTCTGATTAGAAATTATTTGGTGACAGAAAGGCAAGTGATGACTAATATTTCCATTTGCTCAATAGTGCAGCAGTACAGCCCAGGCTTAGACTCAGGTCAAGACATTCTACAAATCTTGTTGCTACCTTGTTAATAAACCCAGGCCAACTACAAACCAACACAAAATGCCAAAATGTTGTATCTGTGTGTCGTAACTTATCATCCCTGGCGGATACGGGATGCAGTTTCGTGATAATTATAGAAAACAATACAACAATGTGTATTTCTGAGAATAATAACACTACCATATAATATAAACTACCCACATAAAGCACAGGACCATACAAAGTGGAGTTTTAGAGAGGTATAAGTCCAATATTGGACTATTGTGGACAACAACGCAGAGACAAATAATATAACATGCAGAACAGTGTTGGCAGTATTGTGTTATAAAATAAACAATTAAGTGGAGATTAGACCGAATGAGGTCAATTCCTTTATTAGTGTCGTTAAAAACAAGTTTGACCCCAATGATTATGTAGGAATAAACGTAAATTTTCATAAATAATGTCTAATAATTATATATATATATATATATATATATATATATATATATATATATATATATATATATATATATATATATATATATATATATATATATATATATATATATATATATATATATAAAACACAATTGCATGCTCTTTGTAAATAATGCAATTTGTAAGATAACTTGAGGAAATATTAAATTATGTATGTATGGAAGTATCAAAGTTGTTGGTACTGATATCTTTCCAGCAAACACGTGACCTGGCGTAACATTACCAAATAAGGTTCTTCTAATATGGCTTGAATAATTGAATTCGACCCCGTTTTATATTCTTTATAACTCCTCGATCAGTAGAATTAGGAATACCTTGGAAATAAATCGTTATGCAACTTAGAATGGCAAACAAGCTTGTTATCCACTTGTTGGAAAGTGATAATAGTTTAGTAGTAACAGATATCATAGATGACGCCTATGGTAACCTCATGTGTTGTGTGGATCGCAGTATATTACTGTGATTTGTATGTTGTCATACCTGAGGACTAAGGTGTTATGTTTTCGTAATTAAATTCAATGGAGGCCATGATGTATTCTATGATGGTGTCATTCAAGTTTACCACTTTCCATCATAGGGGACGTCAGCCTGTTTGCCACTCACAGCAGTACAGAAAACCCAAATCAAATTAAACCTTATGTCTATGTACTAAAATTCATTACAAGTAAAACTTTTTTTATAACATAATGGGTAGGTGCGAGTAGAACGTGTTGCGAGCGATACGGACGAACGGTCAGACATACGAAGATAAGAAAGTTATTTACGACATTTGCATTCATGTGGGGAGAGTGTACGAGTACATGCATTGTGTTGAACTAAACACCCTTGTCAATGATGCGTATGTTATGGGAGATTTAAGGTCAATATCTGAATTGAATATTAACATTGTTTATCGCGACCTTATTCGTGTGAACCTTTCATCTTCCGTTCTTATGGGAACTATGGGGAATTCTTTCTAAATAGCGACCTAAGTCAGTGAAGGGTTATCTTTATTTAGAATTCCAAAATGGAGAGTTCACAATTCACTTGAAAATTTAATTTAATTTACGCAATATCTTCGCCATTTTTAATCGGTAACCATATTAATTTTGTTCTTTTTTGGAACAAATACTTAAACTATCTCAAATACTAATTCAGCCAGACATTAGTATAGTAGTTACTCCTAACCAGTAACCACTGCTTAATGGACGGCTTAAGCAATATACCTACGCAGTTGTTCGTGATTACGAAGAGTTCTCGACCCGTGTAAGATTACCCGACACATAACTTCACCTTTAATGCACTTCGGTGCTAGTGAAAGCACCGTTACATACCAAACCGCAAACGTAATAAATTAACACGGCGAACTGCTAAATCAGCCATAGTGCGATTAGCTATTTGTGGTCCAAACATGAGAAGCGCACGCGCAGCAGTTTCCGCTGTGACGGCATTACGAAGAACACAGCTTAGTTAATGTAAGCAGTAGTTCGTATTACAAATACACGATTTAACTAGACCATTATACCTACTAACTTATAAGTTTACTCTAGACTTCGCCTTCATCAATAGGATAAGTGATAACCTATATTTTTGTCTATTTTAAATAGTATTTTTTTTATACAACTTAGAATGGCAAATAAGCTGACGGCCCACCTGATGGAAAGTGGTAACCGTCGCCTATAGACATAAGCAGTACCATGGACATAACAGAGTATACTGTTTCGCCCATGATACCCTCCATGCGTTGCCATTCCTGAGGACTCAGGTACACGTATACCAAATTACATCCCAATTAGTTGAGCCGTTAAGGCGTCAAGAAGTAACAAAGAAACTCAGTTTCACATCAAAATTTATAATTACTCGTAATAAAGATTTCGCTAAAGAATTATATAACAATAAATTTGATATCCTGGATTCATAAATAAATGAGGGGATAAAAGCTATTTTTCTAACATATTGTACTTATAAGAGTAGCATCAAATTTGTTTCAGCAGAGCAATGGCTATTGGCCATGAGCAATGGCTATGTATATAGGCTAGTATCGGCGAGATTCTATGGTTTCACAGCTATGTTAATAAAACTAATTGTTACATAGTCATAAACAACTAAACAACTACAATAAACATCATTAGAATTTTGTTCTGCCTTTTGTCAAGTCCTGTAACTTGACACAATCGAACTAGAATAAAAATTGACATCACACTGCATTGACGTCAAATGGACGTCACTATTAGACATATTTTTCAACTTAAGATATTATATTTCATTGGATGAAATTAACATACAAGTAATTTAAAATTCACAGATAGGGCGTGAATAATGACACATACATAGATAAGTTACTAATAAGGTAGGTACTTCTTTTAAGAAATATAAAAACTGGAAAATCATATTCTTCCTATTAAATCTTTGATTTTTTTATACCAAAATCATTAAATTATTACATCATTCCTTGGTAAAAGCAAAAACTCAAGCCACTCAAACAGTCAATAATTTTCAAGCTGTTTATATTATAGGGTATAAAAATAAAACAAGTAATCTAAACAATGTATTACTTCAAGCATGCGGTTGGTCTACCGTTTATAATTATTTGACTGTGACTCGAAACCACATGGCCCGTATTTGGAGAAATGTTATCGATTGCATTTCCTTTGATGGTAAGTATACTTATTTCATTTTACTTGCTTAGATAGTTTGCCAATGCAAATTTATATTATGTTTATGATAGTTGACATTATTATATGTATTGCATTATCAATATCTCCGATTACATTAACGACTCCTCAAACTGCATAATCTGCGGTTTTAGTTTCAACGTCAGTTGAATTGCGATTAAATTGAAAAGACGTAACTACCTGATTGGGGAATGTTAGTAATACGGAATACCAGTCCCATTGCTAGCAATATATCCTGTCAGATCGACCTCCCTGTGGTCCCTCCCCCCCCCCTCCACCCTGGAAACCATCGTGCTGAATTACATATGTAATTAACACGATGGGCTAACTGCTTTTTCATCCTCATCTATCATTCCTCACTGGTGCCCTATCAGCGTATACGTAACAGGGTTTTATCCTATTTTAAACACTAATTTTCTTATTTATTTTCTTAAGTATAATGAAAAAAAAAACTCTATTTTAAATACATTATCGGGACTTAACCGACGTTTTCAAAATTAACTATTGCTCACACCCTATCTATGAGTTTCAAATTACTTGCACATATTAATTTCATCTAATGAAAATTGGTATCTTACGCCGTAAAAACGTAACAAACAGCAGGGTGACTTTTGACGCAAATGAATTGAGATTGAATCAAGGTCACATGAAATAGACTAATGTTATATTAATCAAAATATAGCAAATAATTAGTAGTACAAGTGGATCCAATTACAAAATTAGGAAATAAAGATTCTCCAGATTGTCTTAAATTAAACATGCTTAACTTTTGTGTTGGCACATTACCTGCTAACTCATAAGGTACGTAAAGCTCTCATCGGTTCCACCTCTAGTGACTCACCGACTGTTGACCTGGCCAAAGCGAACAAAACAGCGGTATGCGGCTTTGTGTGTGGGATGCAGTAAGAACAGACCGTTCTTTGTGTGAGTGTACTAAGTTAACCTTCTTTAGATTTATGCGTGCCTGGTAACTTAATGCAGATGATGACTGACTGAGATAGAGTAATATAATTAAACGGCTTTTTTATTTAATTAATTGGGTGTATAAGGAAGCTGGGACATTATAATTAAGCCCTTTTTGTGAAAGGTAGTAATCGTATATTGATTGATAAAATCTTTTTAATATTCTCTCATTTGTAAAAACTATTTCAAGTATGTACAATAAAGTACTAAAACACCACGTAGTAATTATTATTCAGATTTTGGATATCCTTACGAACGAAGCGTTTCGCCTCGGCTTTCATAATGAGGGAAGTTAAGGAATGATGAAATTACTTGTTGCGTCCACATAAAAATCCTAGACAAGGACAGATATTTTTTATGCAACTTAGGTTTCAGCATAATTTCAAAATCTATTTATCTACAAGTAAATAGGATTATTATAAAGATATTACTGGCATATACGACGTTTTTAAATTCTTTTTTTTTAAAGTTGTCCAATAAGTCGCCCATTAGTCTATGCAAAAGCCCCTAACACAACTATCGATTGTGTCAACCCTTCTAAAATAAAATTCATCGAATTGAACCCCGGACAAGCAATTACGCTGGCTTTACTGGTGCATGTATCTATTAAGCTATGACAGGTATGTATGTATATTACAAACGCTTTTGTACTTTGTCGCATTAAGTGTTTCTTATTTAATAACCTATTTCTTCGTAAAAACGTCAAACCTCTCATAAACCTATTTTAGGTATTGAACTATTTTGTTTTTTTCTTTTACACTAAATTCTAATTTGAAAGAATCTGACGCAACATGTTATAGTTAAAATAGGCTAGTAGGTTTTTATTTTTATGAATTTAAGGGTTAATGTTTAAAAACCTTGGTTAATTGTCTAGTAACAATATTATGACAAAATGCTAAATAGTTTGTATAATTATGACTATACATTTAAGTGGGAAAGAAATGATTCACATTGTATGCAAATTAAACTTGTATTCATTACATGTTAATTTAATCAACTATTTATATATTGTATGTAAAAAGGACATAAAATATTTACATTATACTATATTGTCGTTATTTTATATATTGTCGTAAAGGCGACTAAGGGAGGGCGAGAGATGGGCAGCAGCGTCCCTCTTAAAAAAGCTTCAAAGCCAAACTGCGATTGCCAATCTGCCTGCCAAACGTGGCAACTACTGGCCTACAAGAGAAAGGCTTATGTTCAGCAGTAGACAGTTAAAGGCTGATATGATGAAGATGAATCAAAATGTATCAATAAAAATATTAATTTATATTACTAAATACAAAAGCGCGTTCCTGTTTTTTACGCCAAAAAATTTATCAATTGACAAGTTAACAA